ATCATTTTAAATCCTTCGTCACTGTTAACGTTTTGCAAGACTGTATGATTAATGCCTGTGTGCAGCCAATGTTTCTCTTCGACGATGTCGCTAGACTCAGACCATTGGAGGGGGAGTGTCCTTGCTTGGTCGCAGGTTGCACAGTCCTGGAAGTCTTCTCACAGAATTCAATGCCCTGCTGAAGGTGGGGTACTGCTTTCTTCGTCGGCGCTTCGTTACCACGTGTCGCTCACGCTCGTTCGCTATCATCCGTCTTCTTCAGCTTATCAGATGGGTCTTTGTTCGTTGTGTGACAGTTTTCCATATTTCTGCCATGTAGTATTTCCCGCTATTACACAGTAATTTATAAACACAGTTAAAGAGTAATTATTCCAATAATTAGTTAATAACGCGTAAGTTTATTAGAGCTTTTATGCATAGCATTAATATTAAATTTTGTATTAAGTAATATTTGTAACCTTTCACTGAAGCTTTTATGATACGGCAGAATTAAGGAAGGATTATTATTAGCCTTTTCACTGTTACAAGCTGATTTAAAGTAGCTCACTTTATGATCCATAATGTTATTAACAAAATTCTGCTATCGCATACGGTTAATTTGATACACCTTACTTCTTCTTTAAAAAATTCATTACTACGGAGCTTCAGGGCTCTGCCTACAAAAGCTACAACCGTAGAAAGTTTACTGTTTAAATGATTATGCGAGTTAAAGTTGAGATATTTGTCCCATTATTATGTTAGATATTTGTACCGCACCTTCTTTTCGCATTTCCGAGCCATTAATTTCTATGCAGGTGGAAGAGGCAAGATGAGAACAATTCGAAAATTTAAATGTAAAGTAATTCATTATCGTTCCGTTCGAAGAAATCACGATCTACATTAAAAGCAATAAATTATATCCGTCATCACCATGCTTTAGCATCAACTTTAAGCATACACTAAAACAGCACGTAAATAGCTGTTTACGTAAATAGCCTCGAAAAGTAAACGCAAAGTAGTTGCAACAGATGCACAAATAAAACGAAAATTTAAAACATACTTAAGGTTTAAAAGGAAATCATTAACGACCTTACAGACTAACAGAAAAAAATACCTTCGCCAGACAAGGTCGAACGTTCCAAAACGCAACACGAACCCTACCTATCGCATTCCTGATCGCCAGTAGCGCGAATTTCTTTGTTCCTAGTTGTCTGGTGAGTTGCGAACGGAAACCGTTCGCTACGCAACTCATTTCCGCGACAGCAATAAACTCGCCCTCTTTCAACACAAACTTTACCCGAAAATCGTCGATCTGAAATCTTGATACGTTATTTTACATTTTCTTCAAATAATGTCCTAAAATGAAACTTTTCGCATAATCGACTTTTCAGCAGAAGGAACCAGCACACATTCATTTAACTTTCTCAATCGACTGACAACATAACCCAAACGCACCTTCTTCCGTATATCTGTAAGTTCACAACCACCTAAACCAACAAGCATCCAACAAGCAAGAAATTTAATGCAATGATGGTTTCATTCGTTCTATCAATTAAATCGCGCAGCCTGTCTAGAGCTTACTCATAGGGGGGCCCTTGTAGAGCCCAGGTTTGTGGAAAAACATTACATTACAGCCGGGTGAAGCCAGGGGTAAACATATTTAGATAAGGGTGAAACAATAAATTTCTAACATAAAGCATGGTTGCATATAAAAGTA